AATAAATGGATTGGTCGTGGAGGTCCTATTGCATGGCCTGCTCGTTCTCCGGATTTGAATCCATTAGATTTTCATTTGTAGAGACATTTAAAATCTATTGTACACGCAACATCGACTGAACATGCTGAAATACTACGAAACAGAATAGAGAAAGGCTTCCGACAAATTCGAGAAACACCAGGAATGATAGAGAGAGTAACCAGATGAATGACAAGACGCGTGCAGGCTTGTCTTCAAATGCAAGCTGGCCATTTCGAGTATCCTTTGTAAAAGTAATTAAAACAAAAAATTCATTATATCTAATAAACGAAGACAGATAGGACATATATTTATATGATTATTTTTTTTCATTATTTTTAGGCGTACAATCAGCTGTCGAAGTGGGTCCCACAAGTTACGAAACACCCTGTATATAAAAATTGATCGTCGCATAGGAAAAATAACAGTCGTCGAGAAGAATCTAAAAGTGTGAAACGTGTTGAGCTTTAATCACCTTAATTGTAATGAATCTTTTCATGCATTGAAGGCCCTCCGCTTTATGCACAATGGGACTCTCGTTTGACCTACAATGAATGCTCTTTTCTGTGTGAGCATTGTGCTCGGACGTGGCATAGAGAGACGTAAAAAACTTTTTTCAAAACCTTGTTATTCGATATGAATGAAAAAAAAAAAAAAAGGAAAAAACAAAAAACCCGACGGCACAGTGCCAACTGCACTTTCCAAACTTACAACTTTCGAAACATTCTCGCTCTGCATTTCCACGAGACTCGTTAAAAAACCAGATTTCAATGTGTCTGTAGGATTCGCGAAAACGAGCATCGAAAACTTTGAAAGCTCAACGAACGTGATTTCGCAGTAGTTTTTCAATTTACTCAAACATCAGTTTAGCCATAATAATTTGTGAAACGTTTTCGAGATATTCGAGTTTTTTTCCACCGAATTTCCTTTTAAAGGTCCTTGAAACTTATTGACACGCGCTCCTCGTAAAGTATTTCAACTGTACTTTAAACTCTTATTGCTTCTAAGAATTCTTGCTCCGAATTTTCACGAGACTTGTTAGAAAATAGATTTCAACGTGTCTGTAGAATTTACGAAAATGAGTATCGAAAACTTTAAAAGCGAACTTGACAAATTTTTTGGTAACCTTTCAACAACAGTCCAAGTCGTAATATTGCGAAATATTCGAGTATTCTCCAAACACGCTCCACGCAAAGTATTTCAATACTTATATTTCCCATAGATTCTTGCTCTGTATTTTCGCAAGACTCGTTAAAAGACAGACTTCAATGTAAAATTTATAAAAACGAGCATGTAAAACTTGAAGAACGCGCAGAACCTAAGAAATTTTATAGTGATCCTTCGACATCGATCTAGCATCTGTAACATTGCGAAACGTTCGAATTCCCACCGAATTTCCACATTCGAAAAAGTCCTTAAAACCTCAGCCTGTTGACGCTTACTAGTAAAGTATTCCTCGAGCGCTCGAAGCGGCGAAACTCGAGCGAAAGGCGAGACGATATCAGCGAAGGCCCTCGAGACGCGATTCAGGCCGCAATCGAGCTCGAGCAGATCTCGAATCCCGGGCTAACCCCGCGAGAACAGAGAAAATACAGGTGCAAGTGGCCCGGTTGTAAACAGAGTTGTTGCGAAGAAACAAAAAAAGAAAGAAAGGAAAGAAACCTTCCTTGAAGAAGGATTCGGATCGATACCGGGGTTGGGGTGAAACTTCCTACCGGGGTGAAAGATGCAGAAAAGATACGAGACGAACAATGCTTCTCCGCTTGCTATATCAGCCGAGTGCTGCGCGAATACTATGCTGACACACACGTACACGCGGAAAACTGACAGATAATTTCGCGCGAACGCATTGTGCATGCCTGGTCCCTGTCTGCCTCTAGCCTTCCGCACAGGCGGACGAGCATTAGAGAGAGTGGCAAGTAAGTACATATTGTGTACGTGTGTTGAATTAAAGCAAGTTGAATTAAAGCGAACGTCGAGCAAGAAGTTTCGCCCTCTGTTAAATGAAACGAGGCACTCGGCGAGCCTGGTACTTCGTTTCAGGGCCGTGAGACTTACGCCTGTTACTTGTGTACTTACGGGGAACTTGCTTGCTAGGAAACGACGTACGCGAGTTTTAGATCCGATTTTTATATGTGACCGTAGCACCCTGCTGAGAGAACAGAGAGAATATCGATTGCTTTTGGTAACAATTTTTGAATGGATTTTTGGATCTTGTCAGTATACTCCAAACTGTTATATCACGTACGTATCTATCTTGCATTAGTTGAAAAATTATTCGTTATTCCACGCTTCTGATTTACGAACATATACACTGTTACTGTTCGAAAGTATCCGGATACTTTTAGGAAATAACTTAATCGAGTCAATTCGCGTATGTACATTCAATTTATGTTGAACGACGAATGACTATCAAACCTTCGACGAACAAACGCAACGATTCAGTTGCAAATGCTGCTCCTCCTCTAAAATTCCCTTTTTAAACCATTTTGCAATCCGGAGATACGATTTAAATCAAATTGATGAAAAGTTGAATGAAAATTGTGAAAATGTCGCGGTAAAATACCGCGAAAATACCACGCAAGTCTATGACAAACGTTCCTCTATCGTCCTGTGTTTTAACCTGCGATTCCCCGAACCAAGGAGTTTAGCGTTGACTCTTCCCTTTCATTAAATTTGTTGCGGCACAAACTTTCGTTAATAATGCAGGATTTATTCAACTTTAGGAGCGCAAAATGCCTCAAGGAAGCATCCACTGGCAAGGGACGCAGAGAAGAGCCTGCGGTCCAGGAGCTCACTGGAATGTACAGGTATATCGCAAACTTTCCCGGAAGCCCAAAATATTAACACGTCCCTCCGACATTAATACGCCTCTACGAATTTACATGAACAGCGAGAATCATTTTCATTTATTAATAAATGCAAAATTCGCAAAATGCAAAGCGCGAACCTCTCTCGGCTCTCTGGACTCGGCGATTTACATCGCCGCGATATGAATTATTATACGTTCAGCGTTCAATTCCGAACGGGTGATTCTGTATTTATAGATAAATGAAAATAAGCTTCCGCGATCACGAGGAACAAAATAGACATTTTTCTATGCGACTATATATAATATTCCTTTCTTCTATTTTTTTTTCTTTTTTTTTTTATAGAAATAAAATTCATTCACCTTTGTTTGAACGATTATGTTATGTTATAGATGATTCGTATCGTATAAATAGAGCATGTATAGTGACATAGACACGACGTGTGTATAAATTGACGCGCGGCTAGAACGTGTCGATAGATGAGTTTATCGCGAAATGTCAGATGGCACAGTTTTTCAAATTTCGGAGAAAAGATTCGGCGCGAACGATATTTCCTGCAATTTGCGAGAAACTGCGAAAACGATTCAGTGTTTTCAACAATTTTTCGCTGTTAAACGAAAGTTACGTTCCTGCTTCGAACAAATATTATTCTGTTTGCACTAATAAGAAAAATGTTAGCACGATTTAACTGTTAACTCGGAAACAATCAACGAGAAACATCAGCAAACGTGAAGAGTCCATCATTGCCTCTCCGAGAGAAAGGAAAAATACGTTTTCCAAGAAAGATTGTTACTCGAACAATCTTCATACATAATCCGCAAACTGAAACGCGTATTCGTGTCTATCTCGAGATATTATTCCACGATACACATGCAAACAGAAGCTCGCTTGTGCACACAAACGCTGACTACTCTGTATTTGTATTCGTAATACGAGAGACGATACATTAACGAGAAAGGAATTTTGTGCAAATAAAAGTTGTAATAATTCGTTATTTTGCAAGAGAGGAAGAAAAAAGGGAAAGAAAAGAAGAAAGAAAAGACAACACGAATAAATTTCTCGTCCTTTTGATCTTATTTTTGATAATTAGCACGTAGCTACACGAATAAATTTAAACATTAGACGAAGCATGCTGTCGATAAGAATTTTTCAATCCTTCGTAATTCCAAAATTTAGTTTTCCCAAACTTGCGCTGCTCTCAGTATTTCTCTCGCAATTTCTTTCGCCAATTTTTTTTAAATTACGTATCCGTACTTCGATTGTCTATAGACACGTATCTTAGATTATCTCTTAGAATTTTACTTTCTTTGTTCTGTTTTTTTTTTTTTTTTTTTACACAATATATACGTCACTGTTCTTCTGGACCATAATTACGATCGTGCCACGTGAATTTAGTAAAAAATTACACGCACTCGAAAGCATAACGATTTAAGTGATCGCCTAATGCGTTTGAAAGATCAACTCGGAATTTCACGTCTCATTGAAACATAGGCACGGACGGATGAGTATCATTGAGCACAAAGCGTGACGAACGAATCGATCTGACCGTTTTAAAAGGCTAACTACGATAGACAAAGTGAAAAAGGGACGGCGAAGCGTCTGAACGAATTCGCCCGGTACAATTGGACGATCGTGCAGCTTATTAACTGTTAACGAAAGCAATTAAATCGAATAGGTGGTGAGAGGCAAGGTGACAACGCGGTGCTTGTGGTACGCCTGCAAAGCTCTCGGAATTGGTCTGCTACTAATGCTTTTAGGAGCTTGCATGGCGACCATAGGTAAGTAGATATCTGGGGATTAATAAATTTCCATTAACGTTTTCTTGTCGTAACTGGATTGCCTGCAAATTCATCTTTATCTCGCTTTGAAACTTTTTTAATTATTAACCCTTTCGCCGCGCGTTATCGTTTCCTTGATTAAATGTTTAACGAGGAGTTCGTTGGAGAAATGGCAATATGTTCGATTTCAGAAAACTGTAAATAAACCAGTCTAAACTCTAACAAAGAAATCGATATATTTTTAATTATTAAAACGAAGCATCGATGCACGATATTCATGAAGATTTGAAAATTATATATATTTATGTTATTCATTACATAACATTTATATACTATAGCGCTACAGTTCGTACGAAATATTTTTATTGACCATTTGTGCGCATGTTTTTCATTAAAAGAAAAAAAAAAAGAAATTGTTTTAATCTGTATACCAGAAACGCTTTGAATCGCGACAACACAATGGCGAAAGGGTTATGAAACAGTAAAGAATCACGAGTGGTATCGCTTTTTTCTTAAAATAGATGAAAAACAGAACACTGAGACAGCTGCATGGTATCGATTAATAATTTCCTGTTTGCTCAATGCTTGTAATTACTTTAGAACGTCTGCATAAAGCAACGCATAATTATACGCATAATCACATTACTCGCGAATTTATAACCATTGATCATTGTACAAAAAGAACTGAATGTCGTTGAATAAGAACGACAAGTTCAACTTTTCTACTATCATTCGACGAGTGATTAATAGCACTTGTTGACTTGTTGAGTCACATTAACATTATTCGTAAATAATTCCAATAAAATTCCATCTTGTGCGAAACGTAATTTGTTGAATTATGTGTCAACGTCTTCTCGCTTTCTCTGAGAATAATATTAGAAAAATTTGTGTCTGCAAATCGCACAGGATACTTCGCAGATGAGCTGTCCATAGTGCAAGAGATCAAAGGTAATCAAACAGTAAGAGTGAAGAATAAATCACGTGGCTTTCACCTGAATAATCTCAGTTATGCCGGCCCAATTGTAATGGGCGTGGGAGGTAATGATAATATCATTTTACAAACTTTAAAACAACACACTGTCCCATATTCAACTCCTGTACTTTAAAACCTACCTCATCGTTTCAATAGCGAAACAACTATTTTAAAACGCATTTATTATTCGCAACCTCAATATCAATATCGAAACTGAGAACGAATTAAACGTGTTTCAATGAAATTTTAAACTGCGAATGAAATTGCGATAAGATGTATGAAACTGTTTAATCATTTTACAATTTATCAACCATTTATCAAGCCAGATATATATATCTATTAAAGAAGAATTATAAAAGGTGATACTAGAGTGCGATATGAGACTGTGGCAACCAACATGTTTCGCATTATCGTTTAAAAAAATTTAGTGCGTTTTACAATGATAAAAAAAAAAGATATTTAATTGCAATTGAGACAACACGCGTATTCGCAAAGTCCATTTTTTGGAGAAAAAAAAATGGTTTGGAGAAAAAAAATCGATTGCCCCCAGAGAGATTTGAACTCTCGACCCCTGGTTTACAAGACCAGTGCTCTAACCCCTGAGCTATGGAGGCTCACGGTTAGAAGCGTCTTGAAAACTACAGATATCGACAGATGATACTTTTTACATGTTCTTAGAAAATTTTTAAATCGTATACCAAAACTTTGAAACAAATTAATCATTATTTATGCAAATACAGCCTAAGATAATTTTTTCAACTAGAAAACTGAATACCACTTTTTTAAATATTTGTGCACGTACAGTTTGCAACGAAGGATTGGATAGCCTATTTTCTAAATTAGTACAGTGATTAACAAATTGTTATTTATAAATTAAAATATACGCTCGTGATATCGCGTATAAAAATGTAAAAAGTCTTTACGACCTGCGTTTGCATGTTCTGAACGCGCGTGCAATTTTAAAATATATACCTGTGGTATCATATAATATTTATATAAAAATTGCATTACAAAATGTAATGTAACTTAAATAACAATTTGTTCTGAAAAAATGTGAAAGTGGAGAAAGTATATTTTCAAACTGCTATTAGAATAAAAATTAAAATAAATAATAATGATAAAACGAGGCACAAAACTTAGGTATTGAAAACACGAATAATTAAGAACCGAGGATTACTGAGTTACATTGATCTCCAAGTAATCCGATAAAATCTCACAGGGTTCATCGTGGTAGCAGCTTGCGTGATGACCTTCGAAGCTCGTGACAACGCTGCCAAAGTGGTGCCGGCTCGTTTCCGCTTTAATCAAACGTCGACAATAAAAAACACGAGGAATCAACGGAACCGTAGGTCCACGTCTAGTCAAACGACCAAATGGGATCACCAGCTCGGTGTGTTCAAAGTGAACAGAAGCCCGAGCCCGAGCATACACGAGGTCTCCAGGAAACAGTTAACAGCGGAGTTCATGCAGATCTCTAAAGAACTGAGCGAGAAACAAGCTGGCCATTCGATCAAAAAAAGCCCTAGCGCCCCGACGTTAATCGAGAAGAAATCACCTCGTAAGAAAACGTCGAAACACTCTGGATGCGCGTTGTTAAACCCTGAATTGTTGAAGAGGCATGCTCTTTCCGTTGATAATCCAAGTTACAGTCCTCATCAGGTACAATATATTAAGAATACAGGAGAATACGATGTGTGCGTTGGTTGGAAAGAATCGTACGCGGTTGACGCGATTTTTCTGAACAGGTTAGCAGGGAGAGTTTGGATCAGCAAAAAATGGGAGGCAGCCAAGTCTCGATGACGCTGGACTTGCACATCCCCAATAAAGGTCCGGTCACTTTGAAAGTGAAAGACAGATCGGACACCGCGAGACGTCATCAACTACTTCGACAAACGAAAGTTGATTACGTCGAGGAAGTTGATGAAGCAGTTAAATCCCCAACGGGTCGTGGTTATTCGCCTAAGTTGTCAGGTCAGTTGAAAACGATGAACCAAAGTGACAATGAATTTCTTGAATGTTGTTCCATTAAGGATCAGGCAGACGAAAAAAAATAAATTAGTTTAAACTAATATTATTATTTAAAAATTGAATAAAAATTTCCTTCATAGGTTCGTTTCTCCTTGCAGGTGCCTATAGCAAATACCCAGACGATTTTGTACCGCGGAGGAAAAACTCGATAGACATACGATTATTTGAGGAATTGACCGCGTCGAAAGATCTCACGAAAATATCGCCCAGAGACTTCCGTAAAATCTCCTCGCCGAGCTTTCATAAAATGTCATTCGACAAAGCCGGAAGCGAACGTAGAATCGAGAGAATGGGTCAGCGTAAAGCCAGCCTCGAGTTCAGGAAAAGTCCTGATTTCCGCAGGGGCGACTATAGGTAACACGATTATTTAATAACTCTAACACGTTCCACGTCGCATAATTCTAACATTTATATTATTCGTCCGCAAATATTCTAATATTTATATATTCCACTTTACCTTGGATAAAAAGAAAAAAAGAGAGAGAGAGACAAAATGAAAGTTCTAAACTATTTGATGTATTTATTCTAGAAAATTGTCAGTAGACAGATTCACTGCTGATTTCGCCAAGTATCTGTCTGACGAGGAAATGAGATCAAGGGCGAACAGCGGTGAAAATCTGAGGCGGCAACGACAAGCGAAACTGCATCATTCTAGGTCGGACGATAACAAGAGAGCGTCTTTCGAGAAGCAGCAGAAAGACGCGCAATCGAGCAGGCACTCTTTGAATACGCAAGCGGTCATCGAGACCGGTGAATCCGAGTTCAAATATTTCACGACGGTGTCTCTCGACACCGAAGAAAGTCGGGCGGACAATTCCGACGATAGCCACGCGATCGATATCGACGAACCGATCGTCACGAATGTGTCGTCCGAAGGACCGACTGAAGTTGATGCCTTACTCGAGGAACCTGAGCTCGAAAATGTCTCGGAGATTGAAACCTCCAGGGACGAATTGGACGAGACTGAAACGTGCACTGAAGTTACAATGAAAACGAAGAAGTCCAACGATCAAGTGTCGAAGCAACAGGGGCAAAGAGCGAATAATATTCATAATAACGAGACTGTGAAAAATAAAGAGACTTTGTACGTAGAGGACGACGAAGTTTGAAGAAACGATCGTCTCTCTTTTTCTCTCTCCTCTCTCCTCTCTCTCTCTCTCTCTCTCTCTCTCTCTCCGTTAATGAAACGCGTGAAAGTTAATAATTGAAAGAGCTGCGAGACCGAACGATTCGAGAGAGAAGCTTTTAGGGACAGATATAAACGAGAAATCTAAAAGGCTGATATGAAAATTTGTGCACGAATGAATCCTCGATTTTTTGAGTGAGACTAGGTTTGCGTTTGTCCACCGTTAAAGTACCACGTTTAGTAGAGTATTGAGAAATAAAATAATTGGTGAATTTGTTGTAAAGGGTTGATACAGTCACTTGTTATTTGATAACGTATCCGTTAGAGAGGTAAAAAACATTTATAATATTCGATATGTAACGTAAGTTCAATGAAACATTGCGCAAGTTATATAAAAGATACAGCCACGTTTAGATAAGATAGACTTAATTTCATGTGGCACCGTTTGTTACGGTTGTATTTTTACGCGTAACTTAGGAATAAGTATTGACTATTGAAATTATAATTTCGGTTTTCTTTCTTTGAAGATAAATACTTTGCCTAATATCAATGAATTCGCTCTGAATCTTGTGTTAGTTTATAACACGTTTTTCGCTGTATTTTGTTTTATAATAATTCATTGCATCAATAAACGTTCTCGAGTTTCGATTATGAATTACGAAACACAGTAACGCGATGTGTGCTCAATGATCTCAAAACTGATAGTATAAGTGAAGCTGATACGGCTCTTCGCGATGATTTTGTATTCTGTTGCGAGACAATCATTTTCAAAAGAACGTTATTTTCATTAGAAAAGAATCATGATAAGAAATTTTCCGCGGTGATGACAAATAATGAATATATACCCTCTTATGTGATCGATCAATCTGTACAAAATTAACATTTATAACGAAGATACGTAGAAGTTATATTGAAATTATGAAACATATTTCTGCCGAGAATAATCATAGAAACTCTGTACATTGTACACGAACAATTTCGTCAATATTCACGATACATGTATAAAAGAAAGCGAAATGACAATGATAAACTGCAAAGCGAAATTGTTGAAAATTATTCACGCTATTTCAAATATTTGAGAATGTATCGAAAGCCTTTCAACTTGCTTTCAAAATATTTAACGTAAAATACATGCATTTCAAATACTACAAACAAATTGTCGATATGCATTTGCAGTGATACTCAAGATTTTACTAAAAATGTATTTTCCAATTTTTAACACTTACAATATATCATATTACCATTCCTTAATCCAGAGTTATGCTATTAAATGACTGCTACAAAAAAAAAAAAATATATATATATATATACATATATAAAAAAAAAGTGTCGTTTTAAACGTTTTTTCTCAAATTGAAACAATAAAAATTATACTAAAAAATTTCCCATGCTAAGAAAAATCATTGTAATTGCGCGTATAGCACGGTTTTCTCATACCACATTAAACTCAATTTAAATGCATATGACGTCAATATTCACGATGTTACATTTACATATTACAACGTTGAAATGTCTCTAGTAAAATATTTGTAAAAGCGCAGTAATTCAGAACAAAAAAAAAATAAAAAAAAAAGAAGAATTAACTGCCAAAAATCTTCCTTATTCTATTGTTAAACCGAGTTGCGGCCTATTTCATTATACGTACACCTGCGTACGATATCGAGATAATCGTTCTTCAATTCCACGAAAAAAATATTTTTCCTTGGACGATATAACGAGAACGAAGGAATTAATAAATTCCGCAGGTACTCAGATCGAGTGTAAAAGAAAAGAAGTCTAGCAAAAAAATGACAATCCATTAACGTCGAGTGATATATGCGTTGTTTAAAAAAAAAAAAAAAAACACAGGCTTAGCCAAATGAATAACAAATATCTATTTTTATATCTCTCGTACGATGATATGGTGACATTGATGACACACAATCGAACATATTCAAGTCAGCGGCGTTCTACGGTTTAATTTATTTTTGACTAAGTATGATTAATACGCACATGGAATCAGTGAAGAAACATTTTTACGTGAAGAAAGAGAGAGAGAAACTTGTTCGTTTATTTCTGTTCCATGTTTTACACTAGAGATTGAAAACGAAAGTGCATACGAATTGCATTTGTTTAGAAAACAAAAAGTTGTTTGTTACTCGAGTTCGAATGGACCAATGTTTAAAAAAATATACGTATAAAGATGATGAATCTTTGATAATGTTTGGAAAATTGCCTCTTTGACTCGGTCTAATATGTATTCCCCAACCAATGTACTAAGCTAGATTTTATTTAAAAAGGCTAAAATTGATTAAAATTTTTTGATTGTTAAACATTATCATTTTAATTCTCTTGAATAGAATTGTCAAAGGTATAAGTTCAAAGAAACTGAAATATTTATATTCTTTTTCTAAACCTAAGTAAAACTACGTAAGAAATTTTAACTTTTGAAATATAATTTCATCTACGCAAAGGTTGCAACGGAATTTCAAAATGATATATTAAATACTGGTATTACTCTGTTAATTATTCATACCTGTAAATATACAAAATACATAGTTAAATATTAACAAGAAAAACATAATCAAGCTGTGATGAAACTGTAAGTAAATAAGAGTTAATAACAATTAGGAAGGACTGCTTGCTACTATCGTTTGTGCTGCAAATTCGATACAAATATCTACAGATTAAACTCAAGATACTCATGAAATACATGATTTTATCCATTTATGGATTTCTTGAAACTATAATGATGATGTGTTTAGATCGTTTCTAGTACATAATATTTTGTTTAAACTACTTTTTTCATATGATATTTAGAAATACATATATGACATTTGATCAGATTCTTGATATTATATGTAATATTTATTTGTGTAGAAATTAAATGAAGGAAATAAACGTGCAATATAAATGACATATTTCAAAAATATAGTTTAAAAAAGAAAGTTTTTACTCTAAGTTGTTAAATACGTTATAGAGCAATAAAAAAACATATCAAAAGAATCTCTCATCGATAATTAAATCTGCTGAGAATCTGTACTCAAGTGTATCTTTTTTGCAACACTAACAATATTCTCTATCTGACGTAAGTGATTTTGTTGAAAGCCAATTGTATATTTAGCAAGTATGCTGAAATAAATGGAAATTGTAAGATTCTGGATTCAATGTAATCTTTGCATGCTGATTGTTGTAAAAAATGTTTCAATAAAAC